AAAAATGATAATAGATAGAAATGTTTTTATTATGATTATATTCTTTGATTATATATCTAGAATTTTTTTTTAATGAATAATTTTATTATTGTTATTATATATAAATGTGTCCGCTTATTCAAAAAACTTTAAAAAAACAAGTTTTTATATTTAAATAAATATTACATAAATATTAAATAAATATTTAATACATGTATCAAATTTTCAAATATGAAAAAAAATTTTTTATACGTGTTGATTTAATAGAAATTGATTTAATAAAAAATATATATTGAAAAACAATTTAATATTTATAATTGTTTTATCTCGTTTTCATTTTCTCGAGCAATCTTATCGTTATTTTTTCCTTTCCTTTCCTTATTACGAAATGTTATTCTATCCTCACCGATATTACGAATAAATCTACAAATGAAAAAAAATTTATTAAAAATTCATTAAGAAAAAAATCATAAATTTATTAAAAATTCATTAAGAAAAAAATCATAATTTTAAAATAAAATAAAAAATATATATATATAAATAACATTTTGATGAAAGTTTTATTTTATTATATAATAATATTTTATTTAATTTATTATTAATATTATTAATTTTATTTAATTTTCATGCAAATAATATTAATTGTAAATTAAAATAATATTAATAAAAATTATTTTCTGCAAATATCATGAATCTCGTCTTCTTTTTTCAATTGATATTGGTGCATCATATGTAATAGTAATAATTTGAATTTTATTTTTATATAATTTCAATTTATAGTTTATATAATACTTGATAAATTTTACGATGTAAATAGAAATGTAAAAGATAAAATCTAGTAATTTACTTCGAAAAATTAATGAAAACAGTTAACAATAATGAAATATTCGAATCAGAAAAAATGATACAGAAGATTAAAATCAATCTACAGTATAATTTTCTAGAATCAATAAATAATTAAAAAAAAAAAAAAAAAAAAAATACAAAAATCAATATAAATATATCTCAAATTCAAAAAAAACTCTTAAACTTGCAAATATAAAGTTAAAATCTAATAACAAAACTTTTTGATCAAAAAACAATATTTCAAAAATATATTAGCACAAAAATAAATTTATTATGAAAATTGACAAAAATGAAATATTCTAAAAAATCTGACGGTACGAATAAAAAAAAAAAAAAAAAAAAAAAAAAGAAGGAGAAGAAAAAAGAAAAGAAAGGAAAATTCATAATTAATAATGCGCTGTCATAAAACGTATAACATATACATATAACGTGACGTTTTACCCGGGAACATTTCCCTTATTTGTATTCTACGAGGGAGAGCATGATAGGAGCCAATGGAGAAATCACAAAAGAACCGTTCAGATAAGTCACGTTCACCTTGACGGACTCTCGGCCCGCTCTATAAAAGAGACGTACACCTCCTCGATAGCACAGTCACAATCACAGCCACAGTGAAATCGTAATCCAAGATGTTCCGCACAATTGCCGTTGTCCTCGTCGTGGCCCTGCCACTGATTCAAGCCTCTATCGATATTTCTCAGAGAAGCAAATACCACTTGGAATTCACCAGCAAAGATGCCGTGCAACAGTCTAAATCGGTAAGTCCACCCTAATTATTACCCCAATCTATTTTTCGCTTTTGAAAGAAGATAAAGCGTATCATTATTCTTTTTTTTTTTTTTTTTTTCTTACATTAATTGGAAGATTTTAAATCAGATGAGATATCATACCTTTTTTATGATATTCTATTTTAATTTATTATTATTTTATATTTGTTTAGATTATTCGTGATATCCTTTAAGTTTAAAATCTTATTTTTATATAAAGCCTCTGTATTTATATTAGCCTCTGTATTTGAAAAAATTAGCACAATTTTATTCGAATACTTTTATTCTCGTTCTTAATAAAATAATACTATGTTTAACGCTTGATTCGAGAATATCTATATTAATTTTCATTCGAAAACTAATTTTTCCATATATATGTACAGTTGAATCCTTTACTTGGAGAACGCGCAACTGGATTCATCGGTGATCTCACTATCGGTTCGCACCAGCCAGACGAACAACTTTTTTACCGGGAAATCGAATTGAACAATCCCAGTTCTGTAGTAGATTCCTTGGAGTTGAAATTGTCTGTCAAGAACGGTAAGGTTTCTTTATATTTCTTTATATTTCTGTTATATTTCCTATTCTTCGTATCGTATAGCTTGAGAAAATATTAACTCGAGAATTGGGGTAAACTCGATAATCGAGTTCAAAAAGTAACAGTTCTCGAAAGTAACTTAATTTTACAGGAAGCCTCCACTATATCAGTGTTGTAAATTATTCTGGCAGCCAAGCAGTTGTCTGCGACAGATCAAATATTTTAGGGGGAAGCGAAGGTTTCATTAACATTCGTCTTCAAAGAAATAGCAAAGCTTACCTATTTTTGGTCGTTGCTGCACATTAATCGAATTTTAACGATTTTAAATTAATAATTGTACCAGTTTTAAAAAAATTTCTATACGATTCTTATACGATAAATTTAAAATATATATTTCAAAATATATATTTTATGTAAATAATGTTAAATTTATTTTAAATTTATTTTAAATATTTTAAATCATGTTAAATTTAATTTTTCTAGTATTATTCAAATAAAAAATTATCTGATAATTGAATTTATTAATCTTTATTTCTACATAAAATAATCCTTCATCGTCATCAATCAACATTAATTTCCTTTGAAAATAAGTTACTATTTGCTAACCAAATATATAATAAATATAATAGAAAAATTGTTTGTGATATTAAATAAAAAAAATCTTTTATGTTTCACGTTTTCTATATTTCATCACTTTCACAAATATCCGTTCATATTTATTTATCAAATTATATATATCTTTAACTAATCTTAAACTATTCCAATTCTTTTTTTTTTTTAATTCTGTTAATCACTTTTATATAGCCAAAGATAAGGGATTTACGTTGTTATTCAAATATAATCTTCTAAATGACAAGATTATCAAATCTTTAAATCACGCCACATTAACATAACATCGATATCTTCGATCCACCACATGAATATAAATAGAGAACAATAGATTTGAACAATAAACTTTTTCTTTTTTTTTTTTTTATTGATCTTCGCGTATTGTCGATGGGCGTGATGCGATCATTTCTCCTTACTTCATGAAACGTTCCTTGGCTCGTGATCCTTAGATATAAAATAAATAGAACGAAAGGGTATGGTGGAGGCACAAGAGGACTCTTCCGGAGAGACTCTTTCTTTCGAGGTACATTAGTTACGATCGACCTGGAAATTTCTCAATAGAATTACCAATAAACTGTATTTCTTGACCGTAAGGGAAGCTTTTCATCCGTTAATCGAGACTTTTCCTCTCTGTTGAAAAAATACGGCCACGGATAGATAGAGCGGAGACAACGTAATAAAAGTAGACCACGTTTTAAAATATTCGTCACGTAACCGTGTATTCGTAATGTCCTTTTCACGAGGTTTCTTTCCCACCGTGAAAAAAACATATTTATATGCAACGAATGCGATTACTTATATTTAGAAAAATTAAGAAAGATAAATAATATCTTTGTTTTAATATTCGTGATTTTATTTATATAATGCATATGTATCTAACATTATGATATAGATAAAAATATAATTTTAGAGAGAGAATGAAGTGTTTATAAAATAGAAAAATATTTAAAGAAATCTGTATAATATAAATACATTTTAGATTTATCCAAGATCGAAATACCTGTATTCAGAATTCAATTTCTCAAGAAAGAGCAATCCCTTGAGGTAGCTTAATGAAGATGGTTCCTTCAGGATTTCTCTTTTTCTCGTTCAATAATTATGTAATACTTAATGAAATGCTTATGTAATACATAATACATTTATGTACATTATGTATGTATTCTACGTTTATCATTAATAATTTTAGAGTCCATGAACTTAGATAAGAAAAAAAAAAAAATAGTTATTCACCTGTCTGGCTTCTAAATTATTTGACATACATAGTGGATTAACGAAGCGTTATTGAATAACGAAGTACTACAGCTTCGAACAATCATTCTTAAGAAGTTCCATGTCCTTTAAGTAAATTTTAAAATAAATAAAACGTCACACATTTTCAATAAAAAATTTTACAAAAAATTATGAATATAATAAAAAATGTATTAATTAAAAAATATAAAAAATATAAAAAATATATATAATGAAATTATACGAATAACTTTATATTATGTATGAAAAAAATTTAAAAATGTACAAATACAAAATCGATAATTAACAAGTTAAAATTTACGTAGACAAATTTTGTAACAACAGTTACTGTCACGGCAATGTGTCGAATGATAGAATACTACATCATCATTTTTTTCGTATTTCTTTGTAGGAAGTATTGTATAAAGCTTGTATGATTGATGAACCATCCCTTGTTTTAACCGACACGAATATAAATGGAAAATAGCGTACTATTTGAATGCATGAATCGATCATCGTGTACCAAATTGATTATTATTGCACTGTTGAATAAAACAAAATTTGCTGTATCGAATATAATATCATTGTAGGAAAATAAAAAAAAAATATCTAACAATCAAAATTATCATTATCCCAAAAAGATGCAATCTAATCTTTCTTCCAACGTTATCCAAATTCGATTCCATTTCAAATAAATTATTTGCGAGTAAAATTTTCTCTCAATGAATGCGTAAAGAACAACAAAAGGAATAAATGCTGTAAAACAATCACTCTTCCATTTACGTTCTCCTCCTTCGCAATTCAACAGATCCTCTTCACCAAAAAAAAAAAACGAAGATATTTTATTATTCACATCCACTCGTCGATTCTCCTTCATCTCCTCGAAAAAAAATTTTCCGCAATCGAACCTTTCCACGCATGACACGCGCGAGCATCGAAGAACCCTTAAACTCGAAGAGTCTTGTAATGAGCTTAGCGAAGAAGCCCTATCGATTCACCCACGATACAGAGGAGGAAAATCGGCAATCAGTAGTCGGTGACGATCGTTTCGTGCGCCACGATACGAGAACATTCAAGATAGATAGAAGAGAAGATCCGTGGAAAAGTTTCGAATTTTGGTGCAAATACCGTTTGATTCATCGAACATTGGTTCGATGATCGATGGAAGACTGATCAATCGCGGTGAGTTCTCGCGCGATATCCGAATAATTTCATAAGTGAACTTCATAAAGCACAGCGTCTAACTTCTACGTCGAGTGAGAAAGCAGAAATGAGAGATAAAGGGAGAAAAAAAAAGGGACGAAGAATGATCGATCGATCGTAAAATATCGCGTTGGAGATACGGTTGATCACGAATCGTTATCTTTCTACTTCTATCGTGCGGTAAATTTTGTGATTTACGGCAAACGATTCGCGTTTGAATATCGTTGAGAGGATTTTCTTTGACGGCGGAGATTGTGAATCTCTGTAATTACGATCTTTTTGTTTTGTATCGTACGATAAATTTTGTGATTTATGGAGAATGATCGGCGTTTGAATTATATCGAAAGGATTTTTTTTCGGTGGCCAGGTTTGCTTGTCGAACGATGAAAAATTTGAAAATCTATAAAAGACGATAACGTCATGGTATAAAAAATATCTATTCGTGAATAATTTTGGATTAAATCTTTCAAGTATATAACTTTCTAGACTAGATTTTACGTTGATGCAACAACGCTAACTTTTGGATGTTTAAGTTTAAATCGCGTTTAAACCGAGCAAGGAAAGGACGAAGCAGTTTTAAGTCTGGGAAGAAAAATTTATCGGCGTGCACTTTGCCATCCTGCCCCTTATACGAAAACAAGCTTATATTTATTCATGAGACAATTACAATATGCTGATCTAGTTTAGGATGCAATTTTGGGGATTGAAGTGGTTGGATGTTTTCTTTACGGATTTCGTAATAAAATTAAATTTGATTAAAAAGAGTAAATGATATTAAAGGCTTCGAAGGCAGATTGGAAATTTTTGCAATCATTCTCTTCTATTTTTCTATCAATTGTATAAGGATTGTTAAAGATCAAAGGAAGACAAAATGACGAATGACAGACACTGAAGAAAATTCTTATAATTGTTCCTTAATTAACTATTTTTGCCAGAGGCGGTCCAACTTTTGTCATACATTATGCAAGTTTGAAGAGAAATAATGGAAGACTAAACTTCGGTAATTAGAAGCTCGATAGAGAGATTCAAGTTTTCGAGAAGAAACAAGGCCGTAATAAAGGGTTGGAATTTTAACCAATAGTGTGCTAACGTCTTGAATAGAACGTTATTTCTGTATTAATATAATCTATGACTTTCCTATAGATTCATAAAATAATTTTACTTCTAATATTTATTTGTGTCGTTTCAACAATGTTCAAGTCTAATAAAATTCATTCTTCAATCTCTTATTTTGCAAAAATATCTTTTGTATCATTGCTCAATTATTTCAATGTTCAAACAATGAGTTTAACGATAATTCTATGACGTTTAAAAGAAGGAATAATGAAAAATTTAACATCATGATTTATCGAACAAATTCTGAAATTTAGAGAAATGTAAAGGTGCCATCGTAACTTCTTCTTTCATCGATTTCGTTTTTCGTCTTTGTTTCATAGCAAGTAATCATCGCGAGGATGTGTCACGAGCTAAATGTAAATAGCGCGAAATAATACTTACGTTCATCCAGTGCTAATTTTATGATGTGTTTCCAAATAGAAATTATTCATTTCTTCCAGAAAATTTCAACATTTACAGTAGTCATTTTCAAAAACTGTTATTAATCTCTTAATCGACTATTTTCGAACCATTTATCAATCTTTCTTAAACAGAAATAGAAAAATTCTTAAGCAAATCCGAACTTGAACGAAGATAAATTTGAATCACCTCTGATATCTTCAGTCCACATTCTCTATTTTAACCTTTTTTAATATTCTAGACCTTTATCAATCTTCTTTCTTCTTCCCTTTTTAGATAAAAGTAGAAAGACTTTTGAACAGATTCAAACTCGGGCGAAGAAAAAATTTGAAGTCACCTCCAATACCCTTAAATCCACATTCTCCATCTCAAATTTTCTTATGTCTTAAGTCCACATTTCTCGATATAATATTCCACTCTTTTCAAAAATTCATCACGATTATCTACATCTAATTATTTACATCAAATTAAATTTTTCAAACGTTCTTCTCTTCATCAGTGTTCACACACCATCTAATAAATAATTAATACAATAGATCTTAAAAGAAAAAGCTTGATTCTTTAAACCTTTTAATAACTTAATTCGTTCGTAATCCCCTTTCCAATCCCCCAATCTAATGAAGCACGGTCGTTTCGAAATTATGGTATCTCGTTGATGCATTCGCAGTTGACAGTTTCGGGATAATCGATGCGGGCTAAATGAACCGGATTCGAGTAACGCCCACCCCCTTAAATCTTGTCTTCGAAATGTCGAAAGCCGATTCACGTGCATTAGCGCGCAGAGACGGCATATTTCACACATTCCAGCACGTAGGGAAGACAACGAGTACACGATCGTGATCGTGTGATGTACGCATGCATTACGTACGCGCGTGATTCACTTGAGCGTTCAATGTGGAAAATGCTGATCTGAAACGCGGATAATGGTTTTCTGGAGAGGACGAGCGTCCATTTCTTTCGCCCACCACTCTCTCTACACTTCTTTTTCGCCAGTCGAAAAATTTCCTTATCGGTAAAAATCGAATCGAGCCGATTTATTTTTGTAAATTCTACCTTTCGTCTCGCTGGAACTCTGTTCTCTTCTTTATCTTTTTTTTAATTTTGTCGAAAGTTGAAAGTGCGTAGGCGAGGCCGGAAAATAAATTAGCTGCACCCACGCTTGAAGAACAAAGATGAATAATGGAAGTTTGTTTATTTCCTCTTTTGTCCATTTGTAGTTTTTTTTCTTTTTTTTTTTTTGTTTGTTTTTAAATTCAATACGTCGAATGAAATTTCGTTATCGTTTCGTTTTTAATTATTTTTATATTTTATATTTGATTCAATGTCATATTATTTTAACAGAAATTCAGTTTAAGAAGTTTTTCAATAAATATTTTAATTATATTTCTGTTTTAATTTTGGAGATACGATGAATATTTATATTTTAATGTATAATTATTATTTTTCACGCGAATCGCGAAGAGAAAATTTTTATTAACAATTCATTTTGATCTGAAGCAAATTTAACAATGAAAAAAGAAGGAAACGCGGAGGTAATGGAATATTTAATATAGTCGTTACGTAATATTGATATTAGTTCAATAATGAAAATTAAATATATCCAAGAATATGAATTAAATATATTTGAAGTTCCATTTTTATCGTGAACCCTTCAACTCAATGTATTTTAAGCGTACTTACTATAGGCACACGAAAAGCTGTGACTTCAGAAAAGCGATGTCTAAAATTAGTCTTAAGTAGAATATTTCGCGTGAAACTTGAATTGACAGGAATAACTCACACAATGGGATAAAAACAGAATTTCCTTCATTTCTCGAATTAACTTCCATTCGTTCGTTCAAAATTTAATAATTTTCAGATGATATCCGCGTAGAAGCGATGAAGAAACGCGGCAACAATGAAAACAAGGGTGGAAAGGGTCGACAAAACGAAACGAAGGATTCAGAGAAGAAAAATGATAAGAAGAATGATAAGAATTCAGAGAAGAAAAATGATTCGTTAGATGAGTATAACGAAGGTTTCAGCGAGTGGCTGAGATCTAGCGATGGTTTCGAAACGATGCGACTCTTTGTCATTGCTAATTCTATCATGATCTTCGTCACGATGGGAATACCGAAAATACAGGAAATTATCAGTATTATCAAAGATTATTACTATGAAACGTAAATAACAGCTTGGGAGACAAAAATGTTTCTCGTAACTTCGATATACCAATGAGAAGTTGACAACGATGCAACTGATTTCCATCGCGTTTCCATTAAAAATTCGATATTTGACGACTACGCGTTCTGCAAATCGTCCTTTATTTCCTGAGAACATAAACTCTAGACTCACGATCGTATCGACGTAACACGTAACATGAATCAAAGATGGTAATGATACGGAAATATTTTAATACATGTATCAACTATCGACATGTATCGATACTCGAGGTCATAAAGCATTTGCAAACTTCTTAAAATAATTTTTTTATTTATCTTTCAACAAGCAAAATATATCATAATCGTCAAATGACACGCATTCTTATCAATTTCAATCGATCGATCGAAGCAAAGAGAAAGAAAACAACACTCAATAAATAATCATGCTGGGATTGGTCTTTCGTGGCGTCTTTCTCATCGGTATACTCACCTGGTACAGCACCAGCGTGTGGAAAATGATCGACGGCTACTTCAAGGATCAGTTTCGAAGCTACTTGGAGGAAGAGTATCGAAAGAATCCGCGAATGAAATCCGATGTGCAAAGTGACTCGGCCGATAAGATCGATCCCGCTTCGACCACGCCACGCCCCGAAGCATCAGTGGCGCCGCTGCGAGAGATTCTCGAACTTAACGAAACGTTGACGGTCGAAGCTGCAGGAAATGACACAATTCGATCGGACGAGGGGCAACGAGTGACAGGTGGCACCAGTGAAAACGGGGCCGACACAGGGGGATCTATCGATAAAAATACATTCCTAGAAACGATCGTGGAATCGGGGCTGGAAAGTAGTAGTAAGTCGTCCGAGAACGAACAGGATTCTCGACAGCCTATTAATCACAATGACCGTGACCTCGAACGTCACGAGAACGACGATCGTCATCCATCAGTCTCCCAGGTGTCTAAGAACTCGATGAAAGGAGTTCAATGCAACAAAAGAGCAACCGTTTCTAGGGACATTTCACGCGAGAAAAAGTCGTCCAAGAAGCGAAACGTGAAGACGATCACGTTGACGGAGAAGGATTTTAAATCGGTTATCAGAAATCATGTATCTAACGACGATTTCTGGGAATTCGAGGAGGATGCGGATGAAAAGAAACCGTTGGAGGGCATTTTGGTCTCTCAGTTGCCGTATAAACCGAGAGCCGATATAGGGAATTTGGAAAGGGTCAGTGCGGATGAGTATTGTCCCCTGAGCTTGGAGGACGAGGCTTCTTGCGATGAAACGTTTAAGTGGCCTTGAAAATTTAACGATAATTTAAATTTAGGAAGTTTAGTAAATTTAGTGTAAATTTAATAGAATGTATTATGTGAAACAAACAAGTAGAGGAAAATTAGTTAATATTAGATATTTTGGGTGTAGGCGTATTAGACTGTTGGAAGAAATATTGAAACATTTCGCAAGTATCGCAGCTATATTAAAATGACTCATTGTTAATAAATGTATCATCGATTTTCATGCAAAAGGTCATGAATATATTTTGAATATATTAGTATAAACTTTAAATTGTTTAATATTATATATTAATATCTGGATTCCTTAAGATATAGTTCCTTAAAATGAAACTTGTAATTGTTCATATCTTCCTGTTAAAAGATTTTAAAATCTAGCTGGGTTATCATTATTTTAGCATATTTATCAAATTCAGAATTCCACTATGAGAAAGTGATTGATATCACAGAAGTTGAATAATGTTAAATATTTTAGATATTAAGTTAAAAAAAAAAATAGCTTTGCAAGCAAAAGTAGAAATTAATAGAATTTTAATAGTATTAATATTTCCTACAAAATTTCGAATGAATACTTCGAAAATATATTCCTATTTAAAAGTTGAAAAGTTTTATTAAAAAAATATTTTCGAATAAATATCTATACTCGAAACTCTTATTTATCTATACTCGCATTCCTATTTAAAAGCTAAGAAATTTTATTAAAAAATATCTTTGATTAAACTATTATATGTCGTATATAATTTCTCGAGTTATGACTATGCATTATTCGAGCAACAAAAGAAATTATTGAAAATAAACATCGTCGATGAACAATAATTTCACGGTCCCCCATTTTTACGCGTTCTTAAAAAAAAAAAAAAAAAAAGAAAAAGAAAAAGAAAAAAGAGAAGAATCGTTTTATAAATAAGAATGTAGACATAATACATCAAAGGTATATTGACTTCTTGCTCGATCGAAGAAATCTCGGCAGGAGATTGCAAAATGTGCCTCGTCACTTCAAGTGTACAATGCGATTCCTCTTTCGATGAAACTTCTCGAGCTGTGGCGCGTGAAAGAAGTCTCCTTTCCCGAAACTCCATCGCGATTAACGACACCGCTTTGACTATTAATCATGTGTGCAATTCATTATGAAGGAGAAAAGAAACGACGATCTGGGTCAATGTTAACTGCCCCAAGTTTCCAGTGCTGACGAAACTTCAAAGGTACGAAAAAAAGGCTTGCAAAAGGAATGTAAGGAATGTAAAGGAGAGGATAATCGGATTAACCGATTAAACCATGGTAGAAAAAGCGTATCGTTTATACGGAAAGGAAGGAACGTATTGCCTTCTTAATAACTTAATCGCTTAATAACTTAATTCCATAACGAGAAGGGTTAAACAGAGAGTAACTATAAAAAAACCGATAATGTGTGATGGTTTCTGTGCTCTAGTGTTGTAAAAAACGATCAGTGATGGGATAAAGTAATCACGAATAAATTCGAATCTAACTGAAAGTTTCATCGAATTCCTGGTGAAACAGTTTTGTGAACAGTTTTCGAAAAATATAAATATTTTTAAATTGAAATTTGATATAAAAATGATATAAAAATCTGATCTAATTTTTTAATAATATATCAAGTATAAATTAAACATACAATTCTCAGATACACAAAACGATTAAAATAAGAATATCGAAATAAAATTATCGTGAAGAAGAAAAAAAAAAATTCCATGTTTCGCTAATCTACAATTACAACAAAGATCGATCAAAAATATGGAAATTAAGATATAAAAGAAATCGAATAAACCGAGGAACAACCTCGTAGCTTTCCATCTAATTACCACGGCTGAACGTATCAATTATCACGAACCAGTTAATCTCTCTTTCAGATATCCAAAGCAGACTCCGGACATAATGACCGAAGTTGCTATTAACTGTATACAGTTTACTTTCCACCACAAAACGTCAAACATTCGTGACTAAGATGGCCCGAGGAATCAAGGCCACGGTTATATGGCCTTTGACCCCGAAACTGAGACCTCGTACACGAGGAGACTAAGCTGGCGTGAAAGTGCAGAGAAATTTGCGATTTATGAGGTATTATCCGGTATGCGAGCTTATGGACCGCAAGGGAAACTGAATCGCGGCAAAGCGTGATGAAAATTCTCGTTTTTGTATTATTGTTCGTTCACTCGCCTCGTCGCAATTCTTTCGCTCGATAAGTTATCGCGCTTCCGTGCATTAAGATTATTGTTGACCGGTTTAATGTTATACCGTTGCGAGTATATATGTATATATTGATACACGAGTCTAAGTGATAGCGCTATTCCCCTTGTTCATGAAATAATTTTATGCGCGACGTGACTGCTATGATTCAGAGTATTATTCCGTGATACTTAGTTACACGTAGTATAAAATAAAAATCGTTGTCCTTGCATTTTATGACGAAGTTGTATGGAGTGTCGTACACGATTGATATTTGTTAATCGTTAACATTTTGTTAGAAGTGTAGCGTGACTCAGTGTAGCGTGACTTAGCGTAGAAATAAGGAAATATTTTTAGAGTTTAAATTTTGCGAAGAATTTTTAAATTATACATATATATATATGTATATATTTGTGAATTTATAAAAATTTAGCGATGCGATAGAAGAAATACAAGGATAGATTGTATTGAAAAAAAAAAATCTAATAAAAAAAAGAAAGATCAATTGAAATTAATTACGCGTTTTAATTTTATCCTAGTCTCGTGCGCGATTAACATAAACCTTTACGATTAGAAAACGTATGCAAATTCATAATGGAATTGTTTCAATGTTGCGTCGTCGTTGTCGGATCGGCTTTAAAACTACGATTAATTAAAGTCGGATACAAATTGCGTACACGTGCATAGCTCGCCAATTAATTTGCCTTTTAAATCAATTTTAACCATTAATCGATTAATTGCGACTATATAAAATTAAAACAAAAAGATTAAGATATCTTCTAACGATCGAATAATACGTTCCGCGACTTCTGGTAATCAAATTTATTGACACTTAAAATGCGTTTCCTGCGAGTGAAACGTATCGTTTACACTCTCAAGAATCCCATATATATATAAATAGTTACACAGTGCTTTGAATTCAAAATAATAGTTCATCACGCACGTTTAAACAACAATCATAAGGTTAAAGAATATTTTTACAATTTTTAGAAGATCCTATTATCGAAAATAATTATATCGATATATTCATTCATATTCCACGAATTAACGAAGCCTGCGTGAAATTCGCATGGTTGAACGAAACGTTCTATTTTCCATCGGGAAATCGTTTCACAGTCGACATTGAAATTAATGATTTACTAACGGGCATCCGAGGCAACGGTTAATGCAAATTAGAGCGCGGATAGGCGCGCTAGACGTGAACGTATTAAGGAAACACGCTCATTACGTATTCTACGAGGAAAAAGGCCTCACCCGCGCGAAGGTCGTCTCGTGAAACTTTTATTTTTAAAAAGCTAACCTTTTAAAGGATAATAATTGGTTAACAATCGTTTGTAAATTGGCCAATTGTTTTAATTTGGAAAGCCTTTTTCGTGCAATTCGATGATTCGTTCGATTTTAAAAGAAATTAAATTGTTAATATTCGTGGAAATTAATGATCAATGTTGTTGCATTGGAGAGTTAACTCGTTGTATCGAGTATAATTACACGTGAGAATTAATTTGCATTTGTAATAGATCGTTTCTCGAGATGGGAAAATGAATTTGTCAGGAATAAAGAATAAATGGAATATTCCATTTGATATTTTGCGTTTAAAAATTGAATTAATTATAAGTCCATTATTACAATTAATAATTGCCTGTAGAGATATTAATTTTCTTTTTAAACGGAGATACGATACGATAAGTTACGAATGACTTTGATGAAAGTCTCCGAGACGTTCCGTCAAGGTATCGCTCGAACTAATTTGCATTCAAATGCAAACAATGACGAGTGCTAAAAGAGGTAATGTCCGTGAACATGTGCTGCATGGCAATGCAATCTTTTTTTTTTTTTTTTTTTAACAAATGTACGGAAGTGCAATCCAAAAACCGCATTGCTAAATTCTTGAAATAAAACTATAATCGATCAAACGATATAATTATAATATATATATGTGCATATATATTTACGTAATAATATAATAAAATATTTTAAAATCCGAATTCCTGAAAAAAAAAAAATGATTTCACATTTCGAATTAAATTAAACGTATGATGAACGACCTCTGATTAAAAGTTTAAATTTCATACGACTTTGCGCAATAAAATATCTAAAAAAAAAAAAAAAAAAAAAAATCCAAAAAAACTTAATGCATTTATATAGTACATTTCAAAGGTAAAAATCAAAACTGGTCATTAAAGCACGATGCGCATTATCAGGATGCACGCTATCTTCGTATAATGACACGATAAAGCTCGTGCGATTCTCTAAGTATCAATTTACATTGAGAATTACGCACGATACACGAACAACATTTCACCGGTGCTAGTGGAAAAAGTCGAGGAATAGGGAGGGTGAAGGGAGGCGTAATCGTACGATATAAAGCGAAATGGCCAGGCGCGAAAGATCATACCGCATTGCTTTGCAATTATGCAAGACGACCAGAATTGCGCGAGTATGCGTGCATCATTCTAAGTATCTATGTCCATGGCCAACTTGTTACATATACCACAGGTGCAGGAAACGCATGCCTGTGGTCTTAAACTATGCCTTATCAGGACGTGAGTATCGAGAGCTGAGAAACGTGACCTGACACAACCTTGAATGATAAATCAAACATTTCTCAATGGAAATAAAAAAAAAAAGAAAAGTATTCTATTTCTTTGGTTTTTTTTCTTTTTTTTTTTTTTTTTTTTTTGGTTTCATTGGTGAAATTCATTTGTCGATTTTTCTACTGTTCATATTATACTGTATATGTTGAATTTTGATATTTAATTGATATTTAGGATTTTGTTTGCATCCATGAGAAAATTAAATACACGAAGAAAAATACATAAAATATCCAAAGTGAAATATGATAGGAAACAAATCAAATTTTCTTCATCCTTATCGATAGACTTAAACGAAGTTTAACTTAAAGAGATATGCTTTATTCTTCAAATATGTTACTTTGAATATTTCTTACCTGTCCTTTTTTGTATATCAGTTGCATGTATTCTATAAGTTTTTATACTTTCAATTTTTGCATAAATGCATCTACGATCTAGTTATTAGTATTTCTCTAAAAATCAAAAGTTTAAACTCGTTTTATCCGAATTAACAACAATTAACTTTCAACTAAATTTAACTTTCGATTCCACACTGATTTATCGAGGATTATCCGGTTAATGAATGCTTAACAGACAAATTCCAGGTACGCCATGGTTTTCTCGAGAAAAACCGACCGATTTCCCAGGATAGCCCGAGGAAACTCTCTTCCTCCCCCCTTCCCTCTCCCTCAAATCACTTCCAACTTAGTTGTGCGTTCGTCTGATTATGTGGCGCAGGAACAGAACAGATTGGAGAAAAGAAACTTGCCGCGAAACCGTTTCCTAGATAACCGAGAAAATAAACCGGCAATGGCCTCGTTACGATCGGCGACGATTTCTCGCGATCGCTTCCCGCATTCCCTCGACTTTTTCTTTTACCTTTTTGCTCGTGCGTGCGCGTGTGCGCGTGCGTGCGTGTGCGTGTGTAATTATGCACGCATTCGCAACAGGAAACTGCGTTACGATACTAATTGATAAGCGTATTGCATCGGCATCCGACGAAAGAACGAATATCGATCAACGAGGAATAATTTCGTTACATAAACCATCCGATCGTTTACCCGATGCGGGATCGAAATTATTTTTAATTCTACGCTGTGACGTGGAATTAAACGACGATTTCAGGTAAGAAATGATAGGCAATTCTTTTTTTTTTTTTTTTTTTTTTTTTTTGGATTTAATTGAAACGAGGTTGATTAATTGATGATGCAACGAGATTTCGATGATTCTGATTTTTTTTTCTTCGTTGTATGGAAAAAATGAGTTGTTCAATTTATCGTTGAAGATACAAAAGATCGACGTGATTTTCTCGAAATTATTATTATCGTCGAACGAGAAATGTTTTGGATAAAAGTTTGTTTAAAAAAAAATTAAAATGACCTTCGTGTGACCTTCATGCATCTACTCACGAGGAATTAATAATAACAATATGCATCTTTTGATATTTTTATATTTTATATCTGAAATATTGTTTGAGAAAATTCAAATAGAAAATATTTGAAGAGAAAAATTAATAAAAATAAAGAATTTAATGTCGAACGAGATCAATAAACATGATAAAAGTTCTTGATCAATGAATCAAGTTAAAAAAAGAGAAATGAACCGACGTCATAAAATATATTTTTCAAAGAATATTAATTGAATCATAAATCACTTGATGAGAAAATCTTGGACAACCTCGTTTTCCAATCAAAACAAATAATCCTACTTCGTCACTGTACTCTTAATATCTATCGTTTCTCCTTCCCCATCACTTTCTCTTCTTCGGAATTAAAACAATAATTCCGATTACCGGACGAAAGTACGGTGAGAATAAATCTTAATCTGAAACAATTCGATCAGAGGCAGATTTTTTTTTTTTTTATTTTTTTCACAATTGGCAGAAACCCGCCGTATCGATTTCTCTTTCTAATTGCACGCTTCCAAGTTTTAAACTGTTGAACGTAACACGCGCATTCCTGTGGAACAAAAGATCGTTCACCCTCCTCGATCAGATTTCTCTTTCGATATCTGGGAATTTTAGCGGCGTCGTTGCTCGACTGTTCGCGTACCAAAATTCGAAAGCACTTTCTTTCCTCTCTCTCTCTCTCCCTCTTTTTTCAATCGAGTTGAGAACAACTTTCATTGACAGTCGCGGAATGGAAAAGAGGAAAAAAAAAAAAAAAGAGAAGCGAATAAATCGTCGATAGAGACGAGCAAAAACGTCGATATTAACGATCTATCTTTCACGGTTCACAGAGTTTAAACTCTTCGTTTGCAACGTTTATGCAGCGTAATTATGCAGAAAGTATGCAAATGATCCGTGGAACGAGACATATTAATTAAGGTAGATGGAGAAAATTTTCTCGCTTTCTTTTTGTCGGTATTTTGTCGGAAGATTTCCTTCTCTCTTTCTCTATCTATTTTGCAATTAGGCTTAACACGTGAACGGCGCAAATTACGGTGGTAAAGAAGAGAAAAAAAAAAAAAAAAGAAAAAAAAAAGAAAGGAAATTTATCTGTTCGAGCATATATCTTGTACGAGCAAATTTTAGAGAAAGTAAGAAAGTGATATAAATTCTCGAGGTTTGCAATTTACAAGATGGGACGATCAATGTTGTTTCGTAATTATTGATAAATTGATAAGTTTGTTGCACGTGGGAATATTTATGGCTTGTATCTCATTTCTCCGTGTATAAAAATCGATAATTGTTACCTGTTCCTCTGCCAGAATTTGTAATAAAGAAAATACACGTGTTTCATCGTGAATACGCGTATGAAATAAAATGTAAATTGTTGATTATGATAAAGGCAAATTTATGATGTCAGATGACTTCATTCGTGATCCTATTTGTACGCTAAACTGAATTGCAATTGTGCCAGATTTATGAAAACGATCGTGTAATCAAATAATTCAATTTCCTCGATTATTTATATATGAAAATATTCGTGAATATTCAATTAGTT